GTGCGTTTCTACCTTTTCTCGTGAAGCAGTGCATTTCTAGCAGGAGGGAAAACGTTCTGATTCCTCTCACCGTGGACAACCTCTCGTACGACAAAGCAAGAAGGTCTTACAGTGTCCGCGATAATTTGCCGGAGTTTCAGTAACATCTACTACACTCAGAGTCCGGTAATTTTGGCTTTAGTCTTCATTCAGCCTTTTACATCCTTCTACCAAGCTTCAATCTCTGGGCTTCAGCGCATGTGGACATACAGCAGGGAACCAGTCGATGGAAGAAGTCCCCGTCGCGTTGATGCACTGCTTCGCAACTTTGTGTTCGGACCACTTTTCATGCTTCTTCCATTGTTCGGAACGCACAAGACCCGGATCGGCCCCCTACAAAGTCGATCTTCCATGCTGAACTTTCCAACTTCAACCTTCTTCTTCAGGCTTTTGCAACCTACTGCTGAAACAACCTGCTGCTGAAACAACAGGTAGGAAGATAGAGGGTATACATGGGCCACATGGGATCGGCATATCGAGAGAAGACTGTGACCCGAACAGTCGCGTCAGTCGCCGCCGAATCCTTTCGGGTCCGTTCCCGCAGATTGTGAAATCGAGTGAACCAGTGAACAGATGTTAATGCAACCAGGAGCTCATTCAAAAAAGGTTTGCGTGAAGGCGACAGGTACCAGGCACTTTTGTCCTTTGCACTGTTCTTTGCAGAATGTGTTCCTCATCCTGAATGGTTTGGCCTGAGTTGTTTGACATGTTGACATGAGCAACGACCTAAAGGGTCTGTGCACAAATCTTTGTGTGTGAGAAGAACTATATATTCAATTGAAATCATCCAAAGAGCCTGTAAAGCGATACAGTGAATCCCCCAAAAGCGAAACCTTCACAATGTACACTTCAATCATGTTCAATCATTTTCTTCAATCATTTGATGTGTTTTCGCTTTACATGAAGCGATACCCCTGTATGATCAAACTGTGATCTAGATGAGCGGATCCCCTTTCGTATCATGTTCGTATCATTTTCAAAGTGCGTGTGGAGCCTGACAGAGATGAAGAGCTCTAGAACAAGAACCGCAATGAAGGGGGAAGAAAGTGCTATTGTGTAAATGGGAAACTCTTTCTTTCTTTCTTTTTTCTTGTTTATTGGAATTTATGTCCATATTTTTTTGCACTTCACTTTGGCTATGTGTTCAAGAGAAATCCTCAAGAAGTACAGTATGATGACAGGCATCCGACACTGTAAAGCGATATAACGAACCCCCAAAAGCGATACTAACATATGGAGTTTACCAAATTGGCTTTGGCGATCGCTCACGTGCATTTGGGGAAACATGACTGCGCTTCAGCATGGCCATACTGTTGATGGACAAAAACCCTGCACCACCTCACCACTTTACCCTGGAAGGGTCGCATAGCAACCCCCGCGCCCCCTCATTCAATGTTGGCGCCACCCCTCTGAGGAGGTGGTGCAGGATTTTGGACCTTCAACTTGTTTTTGTTTTCTCACTGTGGTGGCCCCAATGTTAACGAGGGAGAACGAGGGCAGCAAGAAAACTGTGCGCAAAGTGGTGCAGGATTTCGTCCATCAACAGTAGCTTTTTGGAGGAAAACTGTTGGCCAACAGAAAGTGTGACTCTGACCTACCAAGACCATCCAAGGAGTGTGTGATGCCCAGAACTAGTGATACAATGTTGTGTGATGTTTCGTGTGTGTAGGGTAGTCGACATTGTTTCATGGGTTGCAGGCTCATGAAGACTTGGAGGCAAAATTGGCAAACACCTATCGTTCTGGTCGCCCCGTGCGTCCCACGATCCAATTCCTGTAGCCAAAAGGCTTTTGGATCCCAAACCGTTTGCGAACCAAACCGGGATGTTGCCGAGGACGGAGTGCTATGCAGCTTCTTGGTGTGGGAATTCGAAAGCAGCAAGAGTCCGAGTGACAGAAACCTGATGAGACTCTCAGACTCTCATGTCCGAAAGTCGTCTTGCCATGCACAAAAAGAGGGACATTGGTTCAATTCGCCACAGATGAAGTTGCTTGATGTTTGCCGTTTGCTCGCATGGGCACGTCAGGGAGTCACTTTCAGCAACCTAGTGCTTTCAAAGCCAAGACTTGCATGGTCAGAAACGGCCAAAAGCCAAAGATGTCTGCGTGATCAGAATTTAGCCAATTTGGTCTGCTTTGGTTGGGCTTGGGAGCCCACCAAGGCAGCATAGAGGACCTTGCTGTGCAAGAAAGCAAGGACTATAGCATCATGTGCTCCAAAATCCATTCACCATCAGGTACTCACTTGGGAGATCTTGGGAGCTTCTTTTTAATCCAGGAATTCGCGATTATGGGATGTTTCATGATATTCACATTTTAGTGTATCACCGCCAGAATGCCCACATGACGAATAGAGCCATAACATTTGTCGCTCTTGGAGCACCATTTATAGATTGCAATTGGGTCTTCGAGTCGTCGTCGACTCGACGTCCCGTCCTCTTAGGAGTAGGGCGGGGCTTCAGCTTCGGCTGGGCATATCCCCCCAGACATTTTCTTTTCTAGCTTCGGCAAAGCCAGCACAGAAGACGACTCCGTGTTTTTCCAATCTTGGCCATCAAAGCAGCTGAAATTTTGTCAAGGGCCCGCTTATGGCAATTTGTTACAATGTGTTGGCTTCAGCCACTGGCCTCTGGCCATGGGGAAGATGGGGATGTGAGCAAAGAGAGCGGCGAGTCGGCAGAGAGCATGTGGTAAGAGCTCTGTCGAGCAGCCGGAATTCTTTAGGGTTTGAGAGCGCAGTGAGGCTGCTTCAAGTAAAGCGATGGCTTCTTGGACACGGGGCCACCATCGCTTTCAGCGCCATGCGTTCGAGTAGAACAAGCTGCACAAGAGTCAGTTCGAAGGATTCTTAAGTGATGGTCAGTGTTGGGATGCATTGCATTATCTCCTAACACATTGCATTGCCAGCTGGTACTTCTCCTTTTGGAGAGTTTCTGAATGTTCTGAAGTGCCCTTTGTCGTGAGGATCCTTCATGGCAGCCAGCATCGAAATTGCTCGAAGTTCACATGTCTCCGTCTTAGGCCCTACATGCCAATGATGTGTCTACGGATGTCTATGGAGCTGGTTTGTTACTGCATTGCGTTTCATGACAGTTGATTACCCTTGACTTTGTTGCGGTTCTGTCAACACATCACGAACGAAGCCCTTTGTGGCAATTTCCGCTTGCATAGGGACACCACCTCCTGAGTTCAAGCCTTTCAATGTCTCGACACGGGGCAGCAGTAGAAACCTCAGTAATTAACGCTGAAAGATCAGCGACCAAATCGTGGTGGGATCCCCCAAGTTCTTTGAGACGGAAAGAAATGTCTCAGGGCTGCGGTGTGGTGTTTCACAGCGCTTGGGACATTGGCGCTTCAAGTTTTCGCCGCTGGGGCATTTTGAATGAAGCTTATTCAGTTCAGTTCAGTGTGCACATTCTTCGTTTGGTAACGTGTTCAAATATTTGTATGCGACATGTCCATGCCTTTGAGACAGCATTCAGGTGATGAGACTTATCATACCTTCTCATTACTTTCCGTGTGCTTCATTCTCATTTTCCTGGCTCTCCATGTGCTTCCTGTTGGTGGCAAAGCACGAGCTTGCCGAACTTGCCAGCATGTGGCCAACTGCCATCTGAATGACGCAAAGCACCGATATGGAATCCTTCTTGCGAGGGGTTGTCATTCATCCCGATTACTGTACACCGTTGCTTTTGAAGACTATACATCATACATCATATATATATATATGATAGAAAAAAGCAACTTTCTGGAAGTTCCAACTTCGAAGACATAATTTCCGAACTAAACTTCGACAGGTTCACGTACCGATTGCTGACAGGTCCCAGAGTGGCGCCGACGGCGACAAACGGATCTACAGCACTTTGAAGCCGCGACAGCCTGCTCGAACGGGGTGCTTTTGCATAGGAACTTTCCAACTGCCGTGGAGGTGTGTACATGTGGGCTTGTACAGACGAGTTCAAGGCAGAAAATGGCAGAAATAGACTCCTGAACTTCTTGAGCGCTTCAAGATTCAGGAGGGTGTGGGTTTTCGCTTGATCTCGACCCGACATGCGACGTGGGCGCTGTCATCGAGCTCAAGACCATCATTTAGCGCTTGGTGGGAAATACTTCAGTGGCAGATTCTGCATCAGCATTTCAATCAAAACCATATACGTATGTTTGATACTGTTTGATTGAACTTGTGTGATGTTTTGCATCGGTTGATTGTCAGCAGGATCCCCCAAAAAAGACAAGTCGACAAGTCCTTGATTGATGCAAATCTGTCGATTCTTGATCCGCTCGGAGAGCTGGTCGTGCTGATGGCACTTGGTTTGATGCATCCCTACTGATGCATAGCAACTCAGTTGGACAGTTTTCAGAACCTCACCCTCATAGCAGCTCAGCCTGAAGCAGGACATGAGGGCACAGGCCTGCAACGGGCGAAATGGGCTGGGGCCATCGAGGCGCCGCGTCTCGAAGGCGACGCTCGAAGGAGCAGCGAAGGCAGGAGGTTCCTCGGACAGAGCTACTGGCTAGCAAGCCTTGCTTGATCGCGCTTGGAGATTTGTTTCCAGGCTGTGCTGTTGGGTCTTGCACGAGAATAAACACGTCATGATTAGGCCCGCGGTCGAGCCAGGAGTGTAAATAGCTAGCCGAAGCGACATGAGTCGGCTGGGGCAGCGAACTCGAGCTGCTCGAGCGAAAGACGAGATGAATAGCGGCAAGCTCAAAAAGACCGGACACCGAGAGGACATCCACCTGGGTTTGGCAACCGTATAGTGTCAGAATCACTGCTTGGCGTTTGAGGGTTCCTAATAGTGGCTACACCCAGTAGTGGAGTGTTGACATGAGGGTACTCGACATATTATAGTTTGATGATTACCGAGTATCTTGGACTATCTTGGTGGATTCTCTATCTTTGGATTATGTTTGTAACATATTAACATCCACCGTGGACGCCCCCACCCACCCATCGCACAGGCTTCGGCTCGAGCGGCTTCCGCTCGGCCTCAGTGGTCGGAGGGCCCAACGAGGAGTTACGTGCGAGGAGCAGTGAAGGGCGAAATCCTTTCTGAGCAGATTCACTCCATCCTTTGGCTGCCATGTTTGGACATTGAGATGGGTTGAGGAGGGTTTGGCTCAACAATTCAATACAATTCATCTCGTTGCAAGAATTCCGCAACACGTGCATTCGTGTCCTGCATGTTTTGCCCACCAATCTCCAACAAGCAAGGTTCTTGGCGAATTTGTGTCGAGCTTGTACCATTGAGCGGTTTGAGGTCAAGGTAGTAGACTTGGTATATGTTGCTGTTCAATGATCACTTTACTAGTCGACTACGGCTCCAAGGTGTTCATGTCGTCTAAAGTTCTTCCATTTTTGCTCCAAGGACCAGAGAGCTCGAACACGAATTAGCACTGCCAGGCACGGAAGATGCACGAACCACTGTTGGTCAATGAAAGTGCGGAGAACTCAACGGGGAACCTAGGTGAACGTAGAACTGAACCTGCGCAGACGTCCACTCTGAAGATAAATGATTGGTTTCCGGTTTGGCTTTGGGGCCTGAGCATGAAACATCTGCAAGCTGCAAGTCTGCAGCCCAGCGATGTTTTGTCCCAAAGGCGTCTTGTCGTGATTGCGCGGTTGGCCTTCTTCTTGTTATCAAGCACATGATCAGCGCTGCCGCTGTGTGCGCATGATTTAGGCGCAAAAAGATGGTACCATGAGTGGTCATGAGTGAGTCGTCATGGGCGACCGCGTCGGACCGTCTCGGTGGCGGTCCCGCGACTCGAAGCCCAGGCGATCTTTACGCCGCCACTGAGTGGGTCGCACCTGGGTGAGTTCGGGTGCGCGCCAGAAAGAAAGGAGGCGGTGCCTTTGTAAACGACTGGCATTGGAGGCTGTGCTAATTGAGACAATCATAGACACCTGGAATCAGAAGTCTATGTGAATGGCCACGTTTAGCAGTTTAGCAGTTTCTTGCGGGTTGAATGTGGAAGCTGAAGGCTTTATGCATGGCCAGCCAGGGCCTTCACAGCTCCCAGAGCCCAGGGCCAATACAGTTGTTCTGTGTTTGGTGATAGAGACAAGTACAGGACCAAACCCACAATAACTACAAGATGTTACAGTAGTTTTATATGATTATTAAAACAAATATAAATATAATATGGATATATGTATATATAGAATAGTGTAATGATAGTGCTACTCAATTGTTTTGTTTGCAGGGTTCTCATTTATGTTTGATTCATTCTTGACTCTTGACCATGACTCGACATTTCGCAGCATGCTTGGAGCCTTCACTTTGCTCGAGCCTCAGGCTTTTCAAACTGCAGATCTTCCTCATCTCCAAAGGAGTTTTCAGCCTAATCTCAAGATATTCTGGAGAAGATGGCTGCTATGGCACGTCAACATGTCAAGAAGTGACTCTATGTGAAATACCTTTACAGAAGTAACTTCTTCCAAGAAGTGACTGCGACCATTCTCCGTGTGGAGAACCCACGGAGCACCCGATGTCATGGAGTTCCCAGCTCGCACGGCCTCCGCGCCGGACGCTCCCCAGCGAGCTGCCCGGTCTCCGGGAGCGAGGCGAGGAAAGACGAGTGGCGAGGCCAAATGGAGTGGCGAAGAGAGCCCCCAAAAAGGAATTGAACAAACGTTCTTACTGGTACGTAGCTTGTTGTTATAGTAGTGATGGCCTCCAACCTACTTGCGATGGCCTCCACCTACTAGCAAACACAAACAAACCTGACGGAGTCGGGGGGACAGGAACATGCAGCTTCCAAAGCCTGTCAACATCGCCCAAGCGACGAAGAACAGTTCTTCTTTGTGCAGAGGTCCAAGTAAAGTAAACGCTTGACTCAGAAGCACAGCATTGCACACGTGCGCGACTCGCTCAACTATGAGGTCTCATGACAATCACGAACAACTTGTTTGTACATTGACATAAGATTCGGCTCAATCCAAAGTGGAGCTCATTGGTGAATCAGAGAAGCTACGGCCACTTCAATAAGTCCTGCTTCATCCGAATTCGCCGGTTGGTGCCGGGGCTTCACTGGTTGGTGCCAAGCAAACGTCACGGCACAGGCCACCGGATCGGAAAGCCACGCTCGCTCCGGATCGAACGGCGAGTTCCTTCGCAGTGTGGGTCTCAGATGGGACGCAGAGGTGGTCGCAGTGGGAGGCACTACCTTCGCAGGAGTTTGGGATTGGGACGGATCACAACATGCCAGTTATGAAGGGTGACATGTTTGATGAACGGCATGCTTCTTTTCTGTGTCTTCACAACCTTGCTTCGCGGTTTATGTGATCATTTGGGCCTTCGATAGACCCCAACAACATCCAGACCGTTGCCCAAAATTCATGGTTCTCAACTCTCTAAAAGTCCATGTGCATGTCGCAGGTTTAGGGACTAAGCTTTGAGTCACATCAAATGTTTTGGATCTTGCAAGTGGGTGAAGTCAAGCCTGTCCAGGCACAAACTGGAGAATGATTGCGGTGCTGGATGCTAGTCGTACTAGCCTCATATATTATATGCAAATATATATTAAACTATTATAACATATATAATATATATTATATAATGTAATTTTTTGATATATGTATGTATATATATGTTCTATTAAGAATGTATATATATATATATATATATCATATATATATATATATCTAGATATTATACAATAATGCATTATATACAGTATATAGGAGTGCCAGCGCAATCTTTGTCAGGCGTTCCTGGTAATCTTCCTCGGTCGGTGCCGTGAAAACAGGAGATTCGGGTTCATGGCCTTGCAATTTTTGTCCAACTGGCCGCGTTTTGCTTGTGTGTGCGAATTGCAGTGACAGTCGTTTCGATTTTCCTCACTCAGTTCATGATGACAGGGAGAGCGCAGAAAGAGAGAGAACAAAAAGAAGAAACAAAGGAGAGAGAGACATAGTTCGAGATTTGTTTAGTTGCCGTTGTTTATACTTTTGACGGCTGCTCAAACACATGAGCAGCAAGGAGGTTTAGAGCGCGGAACCGTCGGCGCACGACATGCCAAGTGAGCAAAGCCTGGGCTTCAGTTTCAGGAGCCCCGTTCGTAGCGTTCTTGCTCCTAGTAGCGATGCCCTTTGTTCCTAGTAGCTTCTTGCTCCTAGTAGTACGGCCAGGAGCCCCTAGTAGCGTCCTTGTTCCTAGTAATCAGCGCATGCCGTTGGCTTTCCCTCTCAATAACGGAGCGTTCGGTCGTGTCACAACTCTTCAGCCTCCGAAGCTCTGGCCATCTTCACATGCACTGCTGAATCCTTTGAGATCCTTGGAGTTTGTCTCGTGACCCAGGTGAACAACATCAGCTCCGAGGAATTAGGCCTCAGTCAGCTTCGTTGGAGATCGCTGTCGTCCACGGAGCCTTCAGGGTCACGTTTCCGCTTTGTCAACGGACACTCTGTGGATGTGGCACTGCAGGTTGCCAGCCCAAACGCTTTCGTGGTACGACCATCGTACATCCGACTCTCCCTTTGCACGACCGGCGACCCGTTCACGAAGCTTTTTCTGTTCGCAGGGCAGCTTCCTCCCTACTGTGGGCTTGTACGCTCTGAAGAGTTGGAGGTTCTCATCATAGGCGGATGGTCGGACGTGTTTGGAGGAAAAGATACCAGACACAGTCTGATGTGCTAGGCATATTGAATTGGTAGGCAGAGTGTATGAAACTGGAGACGCCAAACATCCAGCAATTTCGATTTGTCTATCTTAGGGAATCTTAGGGAGCACCAGAGCAGTGGGTGCATCGCAGCCTATGAACTATGAGAGGTTTCCTGGAGGGTTGAGAGTGCCATGACCCAAAAGCCACGTCGAGAGTCAGTCAGGAGATTGTTAAGATCAAGGATCACTGAGGATGGTTGGATGTTGCAGTTGCACATATCATACTATCATATCATATTATATTCATACAATTTCATACATATATCATAAATATCTATCTATATAATTATATATATATATTTATTCAGCCCACTTGTACGGAGACACGATGAGACACGTATTTCTACACGTTCCAAGCAGGTGTTGCGCACTTCGATGGGGGCATATCTGGGCAGTCTGCTCGCAAGATGTCGAGACCTCATGGGATTTCGGCAAACGAGCTTGGTTTGGGTTTCCTTCTAACAAAACTACTACAATTGCAAATTTGCTGAACAATGACCAGCTGACCAGGTCAGCTATCAATCCGCACGCAATTTGAGCCATGCACAATGTGTTGGTTGAGGGTTGCAGCTGCGAAACTCCGGGTGCTTTGTCGGAAGACATAGCCTTTGAATGCATTTTATCAGAATTTGATATGCCATGATATGCATTCCCTTTTCAGGGCACCCTTCTACGGTGTAATTATTAATCTTAATTCAAGGTGCTTCCGAGTTCTTCAACAGGACAGTCCCCACCCAGCCAGACTCTCCATATGCAACAGGATTCAAGACTTCCGCCCGAAGCTTTGCTTGGTGGAGCTGGATCAGCAGGCGAGGCGATGAACAAGCTTGCTCATCGCTCTGAGGATTCTGCAGATGCTGATTTCTTTCGGTGCGTGTTGACATTTAAACATGTGGATGAATCAATGATGTTTGGGCATGAAGAGCCATGCATGCATGTGAATATTCATTTTGGGGGAGCGCCTGAGAAGTACTAGGGTGCCAGTCAGGTCATTTGCTAGCTCTCCCAAAATATCGCCCAATGAGATCCTCGAATTCCCTACGCTATCCTACGTCTAAATTCCCCAAGAACCGGTCTTAGATGGATCACACATCAGTGAGACTCGGCTTAAAGAGACTTCTTCTACTCGACTCGACTCGGCTTCTTCCACTCTCCCTCTCAAAGCCGCCAGCGCTTCTCGCGGCTGCTGGCTTCGCGACGTGGCTTGCGCGGAGCTCATGGATGGGGAGTTGGTAACATGGACAGCTTCACTTTAGCGATCCTCTAGTGTGATCTGACATGTGCAAAGGGTTGCACAGGTGCCGTTTCCAGAGAGATTTTTCTAGCTGGCTCATAAGTTGGCATTGGCTGTTATATTGTCAATACTACAGAATAGTTTTTATACTATTCTGATTTGACATTATATTTGTCATAAGTTATATAAAGATCCGACAAGTAACTTCATCCCACTTCCAGCAATCTAGGATAATTAACAGGGTGTGTCTCCAAAAGAGACTCGTTTTCGGCAGCCCTGGCATACCCTGTGGAGCAATCGTTTCGGTCGAAGACGCGCGTGTTGTTTTTGCTGAGGCCTTGGCCCTACCTACCCCTACGAGGCGCAAAGTATCAGCTCGGAAGCCGAACCCAAGAGACAATGCCTGACCTGTTGGAGGACTATGTGCGTGGAAGTACCCGCAAACGACATAAAATAGTATAGTGATGTTAGTTAATCTATATTAAGCTGTATATTATATAAATATGTGTTTTAAATTGTTCTAACATCATCCTGATTGGCTATTTGTAGATGGTGGTCAGAGCCTTTCGCAGTTGTGTCTCATGTGGCTTTCTGATCAACCCGTAGCTAGTGCAATTTCGGTCGAATTCCCGCGAGACAAACTCATTTTCATGAGAGTTTGGTGAACGCAAGAGCACAGTCCAAACTTTGGTAGAGATTGAGAACAACAACCAACAAGCACACCATCACCATCACCATCACCATCACCATCACCACCACCACCACCACCACAAGAAAACAAACAACCAACAACAACAAACAATGAACAGCAAACACAGACAACAACCAACAAACAG